CATTTTCAAGAGCTAGCCTTGGCCGCCAGCAGAACTTAACATTTTTTAGTATTTGGTTGATTGCTCTAACTAATGCATTTGGCCTAATGTTGGGGAGATGATTAAAATTTTATACTAATGTTTGATCTAGTCTCGGATGTCGCAAATTCTGACATTTTATTGACTCTGGACTCGTTTACTTGATAAACTTTGATGCCTAGATCATTTTTTATTATTACATCGTTTACTTCCCTCATGGTTATGTACTAGACAATTCTTTATTAATTTTATTTGGGGAAAGTTATAGTTTTGGTGAGCACAGCTTGGTCATTTTCTATTGTAATCTCACTAATTTTAGGCTTTATGCAGCAAATGTGTTTAACGAGTCTGCTGGCTTTATACAGCAAATGTGTATTAGCTAAGCATGTTGGCGACGATGTTTGGTTTAACCTAGTCTGTTGGTTTTATGCAGCAAATCTGTCTTAACCTTTATGACTATGGTTGGATATTTTCTTGATGATGTATTGACCCTTTTGCGTCTACATTATGACAATATCACTTGATATAAAAAATTTAAATAAATAAAAAACTACAATACAACGTATACATTTGAGCTCTTCTCCAATTTGAAATTGACCAAAAGCTCTCTCAGTTGAGACATTGAAGCTAAAGACGGATTTGAATGGGTGATATAGTTTGATTTTGTGTTATAATTTCTTCACATCTGTATTTTGATCCTTCAAAAACACCGTTCAAGCATGTATTTTGATCCCTCATATCTTTATTTTTTCACATCTGTATCAAATAGTTCAAGCATGTATTAACACATCAATCATGTATTAATAACGGGTAGTAGCAGTTTATTCAAAGCAGGAATATGAACCAAATTATTGAATTTCTGTTCCACACATCTTTATCAAGTTCTCCAATTATAGACATTAATTAAAATTATCATTGAGTTGAGATTTAGTTGTGGTTTCTGAGTCGTTAAGATTTGGTTGTTTGTTTTTTTGGTTTTTGGTTACTTTTGGAGGAAAGAAACTCTAGGGTTTCGATCTAGGTGCCAAGCAGGGAGGAAGGGGGAGGGACACAACCACTGTGGTAACCACACTCGACTGATTGTTTGTTTTTTATCAGTGATTTGCAGGACTAAAAAGAAGACAAAGTGGTTTTGAAGCCCAAATCCAGTGCATAATATGGGAAATAGACAATTTAAAGCCCAAACCTAAGTATACCTGCAAACTTAACAAACCCAAGTGAAGAAACCTACAAGTAATTTTATTTGAATGAAGGGAGGAAAGGTACAAAGCTTTAGATATGGAACTTAGATTTAGATATAGGAGCTGATAGTTTTTCAGCTTGATTACATATGGGGGCTGTATGCATATTTATAGAGGTGCTAAACCGACTATCTAAGTCGGCAAATTATTAGACAAGTCGGTTGTGTAAAATAACCAACTATCTATAAAGTATTTCAGCCACTAGTTGTCCTATAATTCTAGAATTATCCAGTTACAATTACATTAGATAATTATTAGTAGTTAGTACCAGTTTTTCTTTACAAATCAGAGGAAGCTGGAGCAGATTTTCCCTGAAAGTTAGCCTCAATGCCATTCAACAGACCATGATGACAATTCCAATGAACATGCATGTGAATGTGTTCCTTAGAACAATGGAAGAAATTCTAATAGAAATCCCACTCAACTCAAGTTGAAGCATGGATATCATAAAACGCCTAAACTTGCTGGACACAAATTGGCATTGATATTTCCCAAGTGACGAGCTTTTTATTTTGTCAATTTGATATTGATATGCACCTCTTGCTTAGTCAAATGAAATACTTTGGCTAATTTAATTTATCGTCAATTAGGTGGTGGAGTTCAGGAAAATTAACAACATTATCTTGTGACATATGGTGAGGAAAATTAACACTACATATATTGACGAGTATGGAAAGAGAGGGATTCGAACTCTCGGTAAGCAAAAGTCTAACAGTTCCAATTTTACGCCTTGAACCACTCGACCTTAGATTATTTGTTATTCTGCCAATAATAGATTTAGATTCAGGATGAGGAATTACAAGTATTCTCTCATTCACTGAGAAAAAGAGGTGTAAATTCATTGTTGGGTTGGGAGAGAGAAGTAAGGTATAGCTACTCAAATTCTCTAATTGGTCCTCTTGTGCCTAAGAAAATCATACCACACTGGTCATTGCTATAAAAAAAAAAAATTGTTAAAACATATATTTAACAACACAAAAAAAGTCTACCTGGTCCCAGGAGGACAAAACCAAACATATTTAGAGTCTCTCCAAGAGCACGAAGCAGTAACAAACAAAAACTCTATAGTTTTTTTATTTTTAATTTCTTGAAGCAGAATCTGCCGTCCGCAGACTATTCAAATTCAACCCATCACAGTTTGAAACAAGTTCATCTCTCTCTCTCTCTCTCTCTCTCTCTCTCTCTCTAATCGTAATTTGTGGATCTCTCCACTAGCATGACATACCAAAGGATAAGTTAACCACCCAAGACACACAAGAGATATTAGAGTTAAAAATCCATAATCAAACATCACATCCAACAAATTAACAGCACACCCAACATTAGAAAATGCCTTCCTTTGTCTCTTTCAATCACCACCATTGCCCTAATCCATTAATTTAACACATTTCAGAGAAAACCAATTCTAAACCTTTGCTCTCTCTCTCTCTCTCTCCTTTTTTGGTCAATGATCAAACTTAGTCACCCCCCACAAACCATATTAATCTCTCTCTCTCATCTTCCTCCTCTTCCTCCTCTTCCTCTCTTTCTCTCATCAAACACATCATCACATCTTGTCTCAACAGCCCACCATCACAATGACCACTCAAGAACCAGAACCAAACTCAACTTCAGATCACATCCTGGACTGGCTTGAAGATTCAGTTACTTTCTTCCCAACTTTCTTGGATGATCCTTACCATTCAAATGACATCAATGGCCTTCCATGGTGGGATGAGAGCCATGATCTGATTCATTCCAACACCACTTCTACTTCTCTCAACAACCCTAGTAGCATTGCTTTCCCTACCACCACAAGGCCCCCAAATCCCACAAATTTGAATCATCAGTCGCCATCTGATTCGTCCAAGAAACGAAAAGTCTCCGATGACCAACACATTGATCAGAAGAATCATGTCCGTCCGATCAGTCAGGCGGGCCAGGGGGACCAATTAGTTGAAGAAGTAGTGGTGCCAGTTAAGAGAACAAATGGGAACAAAAAAGGCACAGCTAAGACTACAGGGAATAACTGTAATAACGGTAATAGCAAGGAGGGGAGGTGGGCAGAGCAGTTGCTAAACCCTTGTGCTTTAGCCATCACAGGTGGGAATCTGACACGTGTCCAACACCTTCTGTATGTTCTGCATGAACTTGCCTCTCTTACAGGCGACGCCAACCACCGCCTGGCGGCTCATGGCCTCCGAGCACTGAATCAGCATCTGTCCTCCTCTGCCCCCAATGGCTCTGCCTCAGCACCACCTGTTACTTTTGCTTCCACAGAGCCAAGATTTTTCCAAAAGTCTCTGCTCAAATTCTATGAGGTTAGTCCATGGTTTGCTTTCCCAAATAACATTGCAAACTCTTCAATTCTTCAACTTATTGCTGAAGAATCTGATCGAACCCGAAACCTTCACATTGTTGATGTTGGTGTGTCTCATGGTATGCAATGGCCTACTCTGCTTGAGGCCTTGACTCGGAGGCCGGGTGGTCCTCCCCCATTGGTGAAGATCACAGTTGTTTCTGCTGCTGCCAACACTGAAAATAACCAAAACAGAGAGAACAGAGAGACCCCATTTTCAATGGGTCCTCCTGGTGACAATTTCTCCTTTAGGCTTCTTAGTTTTGCCAAGTCCATGAATATCAATTTACAGATCAACCGCCTCGACATTCAACCATTACAAAGTCTAAATGCTCAAGTGATTGACACCTCCAACGACGAAATGTTGATTGTCTGTGTGCAATTTAGACTCCACAACTTGAACCACAACACCCCGGATGAAAGAACTGAGTTCTTGAAAGCACTGAGAAACATGGAGCCAAAGGGGGTGATCCTAAGTGAGAACAACATGGAGTGTAGCTGCAACAATTGTGGGGACTTCACCACGGGGTTTTCGCGGCAAGTGGAGTACTTGTGGAGGTTCTTAGACTCAACTAGCTCGGCGTTCAAAGGGCGAGAGAGCGATGAGAGGAGAGTGATGGAAGGAGAGGCAGCAAAGGCTTTGACAAACCGTGGAGAGATGAATGAAGGGAAGGAGAAATGGTGTGAGAGAATGAGGGGGGTAGGGTTTGTAGGGCAGGTGTTTACAGAGGATGCCATAGATGGAGGAAGAGCCTTGCTGAGGAAGTATGACAGCAACTGGGAGATGAGAGTGGATGAGAAAGATGGGTGTGCAGGGTTGTGGTGGAAAGGGCAGCCTGTTTCTTTTTGTTCATTGTGGAAGACTGATGTGAAAGTAATTAACAGTTAAAAAAACACACACACACACACAAAACATTTGTTAGTAGCAGTGAGTGTTTCTCTCTCTCTTCTCATGTCTTGAATTTCGAAGGGTATAAGAGTTTGTATATGTAAATGCTGGTTTTGCAATTTAGTTTTCCAGCTATATCTCCTTGATTTCATTTCATTGCTCTTCCCAACCCTATATACAGTGGTCAACAAATTGTGATACTTTTTTGCCTTATCATCACTACCAAGAAGTCAGTTCCTTTAAACCACACCATACACAGACATTGAGAACTAAACCAGTAAAATCAAGAAAATAAAAAGGACACCACTGGATCGTAAGCCCCGTTCGGTTAGTCCAATGGACCTAGCGAATAACTGTACAATCGGCCAAAGTCATACTCCGGGCTTGAAGCCCAAAGGCTCCACACGTGTCTCAGCCCATCGCACAAGGTAAAAGAGACTCCAAGCGCTCGGAGGTTACCTGTTTCCAGGCCTGCATCTCTGCAGTTGGGGGGCCGGGGACTTTCCTGAGCCTGATTACTTTTACAGAACCACGGTACATTCGCTTCGCCCAGAGATATCACTCTGTATAGAATCCACGCTTGTTTATAAACAACTTCAAAAGCTCTTGTGCAGCCGATGTGGGATTCTGAACACAGGAATAATTACACGCAGTGCAAGAGACAAGGAACCAAACAAAAGACAAACACGTATTGTTTTGATGCAAACCTGCGAGCGGTGCTAAAATTCAAATGAGCTTACTCCATCTAAGCCGAAATGGTTATGCTTTTTACTCAAGCTGGAAGAGAAATTACCAAAACCTTGTAGAACATCTGCACATGATTCACATAAAGCTTCAAGTATATACACAAAACATCCATATTTACTTCATGGGGTTACAAAATTACTACATGTCAAACCAAGTATGTTTTGCCACTATGCAAATCCCCTATTAGCTTCCTAATACTAGCAAACTCATGTTAAGAATCATATATCCGGACTGAAGTGCGTATTTGCTGGCGACAAACAGGGCACTTTGGTGCTACATCCCGTTCGATTGATATGCTGCAGAGTTGGCAACAAACTAGATGCCCGCAAGGAATGAATGCTGATCGCCTTCTCCTCATCAGACATATGACACACAATTGTCCATCTGGGACATCTCCTGCATCCTCTTCTTCTTCTTCCTCTTGACTTTGGGCTTCAGCATTGCTGGCACGGATTGATCGCTGTAACTCCCTTTGCTGCCTCCACACTTTCCATCTATTCCAATTCCTGAAACAATATTTGTAAATCAATTTATTGAAACTCATTTCTGATCACTGTGATCATCAGTGTTTAACAAGTTCCTTTTCCTCTCTTGAATTCTAATGGGTGAGATGAGATCCCATACCAGAGTGAGATAATTGTGTAATAATTACGGAAGTTGTAGTATCAGACCAAAAGTAAAACAGAATTTGTAATACATCATACATTTCTGTATGTTTATTTTACTGAATTACGTATCTTTGAAGAAATTATTTCTGGATCACTTTAGGCCAGGTAAAACAAAAGGGAGAATAGTGGAGAGAAGAAAGGATGCTTTTATGTTCATAGGTTTGGAAAGATGGAGAAAATCAGTAGTTTTTCATTTTCCATGAGCCAACTTTCTCTCAGCTCTCACCTATTTTGTAGAGTAGTTGAGAAGGAAATCTAGAGTTATTCAATCTCCTCTTCTTCTTTTTTCTCTTTAGATATAAGGACAACATAATGGAAATTTATTATGTAAAAAATTTCTCATCCACCACTCCTAGACAAGGACAAGTTAGGTTAAGGAAAATCGAAAGACGGACAGCTCTATTCATGCAAGACATGAAAGAGAAAGGTTAAAAGAAACTGAAATCAGGAATTCAACATGATTGAATGAATCCCATGGAAGGAAACTACACACACATTACAGAACTTCAGCATTATACAAAGTTGTCCTTAACACCAGCCTACAGACATTTAATAGTTTTCGAGATAGAACAGGAATTCGGAAGCAGAGTGGAGTAAAAAAATTTAACATTTCAAGGGAAATTTGTACCTGGAAACAGCATAGGCAAGGACACCAATTGACACTGAACCAAGAAAAATCCCACTCCAGAATAGTACTTTTGTGCGTGATGTAAGATCTACAACCATCTGATCCTTAGACATCTCAGAGCTGCAAAAGATACAAAATCAGTTTAGGGCAGTCAAGCAACAAATAAATTGACCTTCCTACAGCCACATATTATCAATCAGGGAGGGTGAAGGAATAAAGGAAAGAATTGGAATCTTCAAAAATAAAAATTAAAAAAGGTAAAGCTGTATATAATATTTCTATCCTCTGGATGACCGGACTGAATCTTAAATTGGGATGCTAGTTTTTAACCACTGAATAATCCAATAGATGAGAGCACTGCTGCACCAGTACATTATAATAGAAGAAACTATAAGTTATACTGTTTGATAACAATTAAGATGGAAGGGTACAAGAACTGAAGTCGCTCAATCCAACCGAAATCCTACCAATATTTTCATTAGGATTTTTAGTTTTTCCAGATTTCAGAAGGATTTCTAAGTTTCCTATTTTACTTGGACTAGGATTTCTTTCCTAGAATAAGTTTAATTTTCCTTTTCACTCTAGGGTTAGAATATTATAAATACCCCGTCTATGTAATTCATTATGGGGTTGAGTTGTTGAGATATAAAGAAAAGCTCATTTTCCAGAGATTGGAGACTACTTGGTGTGAAGCCAAACCCCTGGAGTGATTCCAGACCTATCCCTTTTGTTCTATTTTCTGTTTTCCATTGTTTTCGCTTCCGCTAAACTACCTAAATACTCAATTCACCCATATCCTACATCAAAAAGCCTGTCCTAGACATAGCAGAAAATATAGAGAACACATCTGCCAGAGTAAGAATAGCCACTTTTCCATATCCAACTGCAATACTGAAGATTCAAGAGAACATGCTCAAGAACAAGCCCACTTACAGAAAATAGGGAAAGTCTTTGCAAGACTTGATTTCCAGTACTCCGTCTTTAACACTGCAGAGACCAACAGCACTAATTTCCTTTCCTAATGGAAGAATCTTCTCTTCATCTAGCAAACCAACCTTAGAAACCAGAAACAAAAAATGACATTACAAGATTTGTAATAAAATGAGAAGCTAAATAACACTAAAACTCAGATACTAACAAGCAAAATGAGAGCCAAAATGCAGAACTTACCGGGTACCGATGGCCAAAAAGTGCCTCCAGGAATGTGTACGGAGAAGGATTAACAGGATGCAGATGATGATAAACTGTGGTAAGAGGTAGGGGATGCCTCGATCCATCCATATCCACAGCAACAAACTCCGAAATCGGCCTTCGGCCACCTTCAGCAAGAATGAACGGAACCGTTCTGAAAACCTTCGATTCTCGCTCCCTCCAAGACCGAGAGAATATAGCTCTCAAATCCGACGGCCATCCCACGAAACCTTTCCACTCATTATAAACGCACTACAAGAATTCAATTTACAATTCAGTTTTCATCGAAATACACAACAATAATAACAAAGATTCAATTTTCTCAGCAACGAAAGAAAAGAAAACGCACCGTTTGAGTTCTCTGAAGAACCACGGCTCTTTCCTTTGTACCCTGGGAGACGAGCACGCCGGAGTTGAGGATGTTCCAGTTGCCGTCGATGGCGGATTTGGCTTCAACGGTGCCGCGTACAACGACGAGCTTTGCATCGGACGGCTGCGATTCGTCGGAGTGATCGAGGGAGAGGATTGAGCGGAGATCGGAGACTTGGACAGAGGGAGCGTTATGGAGTTTTCGAAGGGCCGAGGAGACCGAGTTGAGCTTGAGGACGGTGCGCACGGCGGCGTACGCTAGGGCTACGCCCAAAATGGCGCCGTCGAAGGAGAGGGCGAGTTGGGAAACCAGGGAGATTAGGGCTTGCTCGTGCGATGACATTGCTGTGTTTGTCGTCTGGTTTCTACGTTCGGTAGGGGGGGAAAGTGATGAGAGAGAACATGGTGATATGGCGGTGACTGGCGGGTGGCGGGCTGGAGAGAGAGAGAGAGAGAGAGAGAGAGGTCGGGTAATGGTGTTTTTAGTAGATTTAATCAAAGACCATGGGTGATTTAGTAATTGACAGACTTCGGCTGTTGAGTTTATTCGAGAGCGGTTTCATTTGGGCCTTGTCCTTGTGGCATGATACTGCAAGAGCTTCTATGTGAGGAGACTATGTGAGGAGGTTATTTGAGAAGGCCCATCTTATCATTAAAAGGGGTGTGGACCCCCCAATGTACCTCCCCATGTCATTTGTTTTTAGTTGTTGATGGTGAGATTTCACTTCCTCAAATAACCTCCTCACTCAACCTCCTCATTCTAGCCTTTCCGTGATACTGCTCCCTAAATAATTGTTCAGGATTCAATCCAACCCAATTCAATTTATTTTAATAAAAATATGAACAGTTGAAACAGTTTATAGAAGTATGTCTAGTATACTTTAAAAGTAAAATACTTCTCTTTAGAATTTAATTTTTTATTTCACATTTAACCTCTATTTAATTTTAAATGTTTGATTTGGAGAAAAGTGGACAAAACGAAGGATGTTGTAAGCAGTAGTTGGGACCACCAACTAGCCTTTGATCTAGTGATATTTTGTCTAATGTTCTACTCACATAAATAGCAAGGACGATCCTTGATTGTAGTGTAGCTTTGTTATGGGTGTAATGGGTCCTTAAATGCGTATAAGTAGAGAATGTTTTTCAAAAGAAAGAAAATTGAGACTACTTGAGTTACCTGAGTTAGAATGGGAAGGCTTGAGTATGCTCCTTTGGCCATTACAAAGTTATAAATTTGGCTTATTATCACAAAACGTCCCTAGGGTTTACGAAACTATTAGATTGCATCCTTAATGTTTTTTTTTTTGTCATTCGTGGTTCTCAAGGTTAGTATGTGTGATCACAAATGATCCAAGTTGTTAGGTTCCGTCAAAAACTCCGTTAGTTTGTTGACGTGGCATATGTATATATCATATACCAGAAAATGCCCTTGGTTAATGCAAACATTAAGAATTGAAATTATTAATTAAATGAGGATAATATGGTAAATTCACACTTTTTCATATTTAAAAAAATTAAAATTAAAAGAAAATTCAGATAATGGATCCTATTTTTATGGAACACAACACAACTACCCATTATTTTTTTAATTCTAAAATACTAAAATAAATTTTTTGTTTATTTTTAAAAAGCCTCTCGCATGCGCGGAAGCGCGTGCGGAGAGGCAAGTATATATATATATGTATATATCACAAAACATCCCTGAGGTTCATGCACCTATCACAAATGGTCCCTGTGAAATTTTTTAATTTAAAATTCATAAAACTATGGTTTTCTTTTTAAAATTTTATGAATTTTAAATTATTTAAAAATGTAAATTATATTTTAAATACATGTGACACTGTATTATTATAGATGTGGGCTCCGTATATATGCCACATCAACAAACTAATGGAGTTTTTTAAAAATAATTTAAAATTCATAAAATTTAAAAATGAAAAATCTAAGGGTTTATGGTTCATAAATGGTCCTCAAGATTAAAATCCTTTAATAAATGGTTTTTTCATTTATAAATAATTTAAAAAAGAAAACCAGAATTTTATGAATTTTAAATTAAAAAATTAAAAAAATTCGTAGGGACCATTTGTGATAGGTGTGTGAACCTCATGGATATTTTGTGATATATATACCACGTCAGCAAACTAACGGAGTTTTTGACGGAACCTAACGGCAGGGATCATTTGTGATCGCACATACTAATCTTGAGGACCACGAGTGACAAAAAAAAAAAATAAGAATGCAATCTGATAGTTTCGTAAACCTTAGGGACGTTTTGTGATAATAAGCCTATAAATTTTGATGTTTCACGAGTGCCAGAACCATCTGAAAAGCGTTGGAAATTTATTCAAATTATGGAGAGAAAAAAAGTGTTGGAACATGTATTTGTCCATAATCTTTGTAATGCTCCTGCTTAACCTCATCCATTGCAATTATAATCTGTCTTAAATTGTATCATTTGCGTAGTTAATCTTCTATTTTATCTATGACTTTTTATGGTTTTTTTTTTTCTTTGAGTAAAAGTAGCATGGTCTTGGTCGATTAAACAGAAGCGCAGTTTATTTATCAACTTAGGAGATATCCTGAGTGGTCAAATGGGGAAGGAAAAATTAGTGTGGAGTAGAATTATATGAATTCCCTATTGGGTCATTAGACGAACAGGGCGCTTTCAATGCACAATTAGAAATTGGGAAGTGATGAATCAAAAGGGCAGCTGTTTCTAAAGTAGTTTTGGTTTTGATTAAGTAAAAGGGTTAAACGATGGGGACCTGTGTTTATGCCATTGGCATTGTTATGAAAGCATAGCGGATAAGTGGGAGAATCAAATTTAAGTTTTTCATATTTTTTTTAGTGCTAACCTATATTTGCAACACATATGTTTTTGCGGGATGATTCTCAATTTCTGACAGCTTATAGTGATCAAACTGTAAGTTATTCTTAAAAACAATTGTCTGTACATGCAAACAACTACGGATACGGAAGACATAACACTTGAAATAAATGTAATAGTTGCAATAAAACGCTTTCGACAGAAAAACTAGGTGCATTTGTAACACACTTCTGTGCCCCTCTCCTATAAACAATGATAACAAAACTCACATTGATAAGCTTGCGGAGGACAAAGTCAGGAACCCACTTACTTATACACACATCGATTCTGAAGAACATTAAATCCCAGTTTGTCTTCAACAAAACAGAGGGATGCAGTTATGGCATGCAAAGAGCCCGAATGCAAGCTATTTATTGAGGCAGCGAGAGCCTATAGCTTTTAGGATATGCAGGACCAACTTTCTAGATACTTCTACTGTATGCAATTAAAATGGCAACATGGGGAAATAGTGAGACAGAAACAACCCGTTTCCGAGACCTCTGTCAAATGTTACAGTTGGTAGCACAAGGAGCAGACAAAGACATCATTACTAAAGAAATGAGTGCTTAATAGTAAAATAAACGAATCAGAAAACAAAAACACTGTATCACTCACCGGAAACCCTTTGGCCATTCTTAACTTGAATGGTAGAAACAAGCAATAACAACAGGCGGCTTAAAAGTTCAACAGTGTCTGAACCTGCAGCATTGAGAGAGAGAGAGAGAGAGAGAGAG